GGATTAAGTGTTCAAAGACCTCCATATGAAAGGATTACTTTTATCAGGCTGAAGACCAAGTTATTATTTCAGACAGTTACGAATTATGTAAATGAGATTCTTGTCATTTTGGGTAATTGATAAAATTTTTGCTTCTTATTTCCTTCTAAAAACATTTTAACACAAAAATGATTACTTAATGAGTAGATTTGTCTCATATGAAAAAAGACTACTCATTTTTTTATTTTATTTTTTTTCTGATTGCAACTAATTATCTCTATTAGTGGTACTTTCAGATACAGTCTCCACTTGTACTTCCAAAGTCATGCTCAGAAAAATTGAATCAGCTGGTTACAGTATGTAAAAACCTCTGTTTTATTCTGCCTGTTTTCAGAGTAAGGTTTACCATAGTTTTTACTTTCCATTTAAAACTTGGGTCAAATTGCCAGTTTGTTGCAAATCAGTTATATTTAGGAAATGCTGACACATTTGTTTAAATCGCAGTTTCTGGCTGAAGTCATTTCAAATATATGAAATTAAGTATAGACTACCTAAAGTATATCTTTTGAGGCTCAATGGCGATATAGTGGTAAAACACAATGTCCCGTGAGGCTGACCCTGTGGAAAGGTTCTGGGTTGTGTCTGGAGACCTCCCTGAGTACACCAGCATGCACGTGCTTGTGCCCTGGGACAGCGAGGTCGGGATAGACCCCATTGAGGGCGTGTCTCACTAGTTGTTTTATGACATCATTGGATATGGTAGTAATTGAGAAGGGGGAGTTGTGGATGGGCCTTCCTGTCGAACCTGTCAGAAGCCTTAGAATCAGATGTTTAATAAGATAAAGGTTTCCAGTGACTTCCTAATTTATTCACATCTTAGGAAAAACTTAAGATTTACTCAGGTAAAAGTTCTAGCAATTAAGATTTCTTAAAGAAGGTGCCGAAGTGGACCTAGACTTACTTTTTTCACTTGCTCTTATCCAAAAGGCCTAAAGCAATGAGCTTACTTCCCATCTCAGACATTTTATTATGGAAAATTTCAATCATACAGAAAAGTAAAGGGAACATTCATATACCCACCAGCCAGCTTCCACCATGGACGTCCCATTACACTCCCGTATTTGCCTACACACGCTCCTGCCCATCCATTACTCTCTTGTTTCTTGTTTTTCAAAATGAGTTGTAGGCATTAGTATATGTACTTTCTTTACTTTGAAAATTTTTTAACATTTGAAGCCCACGTACTCATCACGCAACCCCCAAGCTGTCCTCATCTCACCCATCCTACGTTCTCTTCCCTTCTCCACACTGTCCCCTTGTATAGTTTAAAATAGACAATGTATCATCTCACTCACAAATACTTACATCTCTAACATCTAAGGATTCAATATATTATTCTATGCAAAATCCAAAAATTATTTCATTTATTGAATATCTAGTCATTATTAGTTTGCCTTGATTATCTCAAAAAATTGCTTGTTACATTTGTTTTAAGTCAGACTCCAAATAAGGTTCACAATTAGAATAAGTTGATATGCTTCTTAAATGACTTCTACTTTTATACAATGGCCTCGCTCTGTTTTTGAACACCATTAATTTGAAGAAGCAGTTGGATCATTTGTCCTAGCGAGATCACATTGCTGAGTTTGGCCGTTCTACCCCTGTGGTTCTGTCTAGCCAGCTCCTCTCTGTTATTCCCTGTAAACTGTGGTTAGGTCCAGATTGGTTATTCCATTCTAGGCGGTTATTCTGGCAAGTGGCCGCCTAAGGCCGTGCGAGTACGTGCCTCACTTCTCAGGCAACTCGTGGTGTCTGGTCGTCCTACTGTTGGTGATGCTGGGACTGATGAGGAGCAGACTGATGGCCATCAACATCTATCACTGTGCAGTTTTCATAGAATTAGGCTCATTTCATAGATACAGGCTTTAATGTGGACCTACAAAATGGTGACTTTTCAAATTCAGTCATTTCTTTTGCATTTATTGAAAGACATTTTCCTCATCTACTTTTTGGTAACTCTGAAATGCATTTTCTGACCCCAAATGCAGGATATATGCTTGATTCTATCAATTTACCAGTTTTCAGAATTAATTGTTGCCATAGCAGCCTCCAAAGGATTTTTGTTTTTCTTTAATTGTGATTTGTGTGCGTGTGTGTGTGTGTGTGTGTGTGTATGTGTTTACCATAGGGTCCATGAACACACCAGTAGAGACAGAGACAGAGAGAGGGAAAATAAGAAATCGTCCCCCCACCCCCGGGGATGATGGCCATGCTACAGTCCCTTCTCCATTCTCCTCTCAGGGTTTTGGGCACGCACGCACACGCACCTGGTGTCATTTTAAAACCACAGGGTCCAGTACTCAAACCATGGTTGGCCATGAAAGAGTCTAGTGCTTTAATCACTGTGCCACCTGCTGGTCCCTTAAATGTGATTTTAAAAAAAGGGGACCAACAGATGTAATGGTTACATCACTGGACTCCCATGTAGTCACCCGCTGTTCAAGTTCCAGACCTTGCAGCTTAAAACTCACATTGGGCGCATGTGCGTGCGTGCCCAAGATCCCGAGAGGAGAATGGAGGAGAAGGGATTGTGCTGTGGCCATTCCCCCAGGGGGTGATTTCTCATTTTCTATTTCTCTGCCTCTCTGGTGAGCACATGCACTCTATAGCAAAAACTTCTCTCAAAAACAAACAAACAAAATGCCAAAAAACCAAAAGCCCATCATAAAACTTACCACCTTGACCATTTTTAACTGTCCAGTTAGTAGGTTTACATACATTCACTTTGTCGTGCAACAGATCCTAAAGCATGTGATAGGATTTCCTTTTCTAAGGCTGAATCCAAAGGTTTTTATTATTATTATTATTATTATTATTATCTATTTTTAAATGTCTCATGGACTTATATCTTTACTGTGTCTCAGTCTGTCACAGACATTCTTTTTTGGTGTCTCAGTCTGCTTTGTTCTGCTATAACAGGGTATTTGATACTGGCTAATTTGTAATGACTCAGAATTTATTGGCTTATGATTCTGGAGCCTGAGAAGCCCAAGATCAAGGGGCCAGTATCTGGCGAGGGTCTTCTTGCTGTATCATCCCATGGAAAAAGATCAAGAGAGAGTAGGAGATTGCACACTCACTAACATATACATACACGCACACACACACACAGCATGTACAAAAGGGGACAGAAATTGCTTTATTTATTATCTGTTATAAAAGCCACTCCCACAATTGTGATCCTAATCACATTTTTTTAAAAAAAATTCATGAGCATGAGAAACAAAGACAATAGGGTTTGATTCTGTACTTCTCTGCCCCATTCCCCCAGCATCCTGGCATTGCCATCCCACTCCAGCCTTCCCAGGCAGCCAGGGCCACGGGGGTGTGAGGCAGCACATGCAGGCTGGCCAGGGAACCAGCCTTGTCATCATCCCCATGGATCCAGTCATCTTTGCATAAGCAGCACGTTGCCACCATGCCTCCAAGCTGGCCCCTAACACCGTCAGGGTTCCCCCTCTTAGCACTGTTGCTCTGGGGATCTAGTTTCCAACATATCTACTTTCAACCATAGCAGTGCTCAGAGTACTCACCTCTGTCCAGTGGGAGCCTCTTCAGTCACGGGATGGTACCTGAGTCCTTTCGTCACAACTCAATAGTCTTTAAAAGCATCTTTACTTTCCGGCATAACAGGATGTCTCAAGCTCATCTTGTGCATTTCCTCCCAAGATCTGGAATAAAACATTTCTTTAGGGGCCAGCAGGTGGTGTAGTGGTTAAGGTGCTGGACTACCACATGGCTGACCACAGTTCAAGTCCCAGACCCAGTAACTTGAAACTTACGTGGAGCTCATGTGCATGCGTGCCCAAAATCCTGATGGGTTGGAGAAAGGGAAAGGAAAAGATTGCAGTGTGACCATGCCCCATTGAGGGGAGGGGTGCATTCATTTTCTCTCTCTCTCTCCCTTCTCTCTCTGTGTATCCCTGTCACTCTAGTAAGCACACACATCCTCTGGCAATTAAAGACAGAGACAGACAAAGGACTAGTTTCTTTGTGTGCATACATACCACAGTATAAGGAGCAATATAAGCATACTTTTTAATTCTTTCCTAATACTACCTGAATTTTTCCATTGTAAGTAGATATAGAGTGTGATAAAGGCCCCGTCGTGCAGCCTCTAAGCCCCCTGAATTAGGATCCCACATTGTTGACTGCGGTTCTCGCTCGCTCACTCTCTCTGACACCTATACACAACCTCTGGCAATTATAGAAGAAAAAAAGAGTATATAACCCCGAAAAATAAATGTAAGACGGAGATGTGATCTATTTCTCGCCACATTTAGGATACCATCCGTCAGTGACTTCATTGCACTTTAGAATCACCGTGAGCCTTAAAAATATCCCATGAGTAGGGACCAGCAGTTAGTGTAATGGCTATGTCGCTGGACTCCCACGTAGTTGACCGTGGCTCACATCCCGGACCCGGTGGCTTAAAACTCACGCCAGGCTTGTGTGCGTGTGTGCCCAAGATTCCGAGAGGAAAATGGAAGAGAAGGGATTGCAGCATGGCCATCTCCCCTGGGGGTTGATTTCTCGCTTTCTGTCTCTCTGTCTCTCTCTGTCTGTCTGGCGAGCACATGCGCCCAATAGCGAAAAACCTCTCCAAAAAAAAAAAAAAATATACATATATATCCCATGAGTGAATAAACTTATTTTTTTACTGTTGGTAATCTGGGGCCAGCAAATGATGTGTTAACTCTCACATGGCCTGTGGTTTGAGTCCTAGACCCAGTGGCTTGAAAATCATGCTGAGGACATGTGCATGCATGTCCAAAGTCCTGAGAGGAAAATGGAGGAGGAGAAATTGCTGTGTGACACCCCCTGGGGGTGTGATTTCTTACTTTCCCTTTTTCTCTGTCTCTCTTTGGTGTACATACACACCCTGCTGTAAAAACCTAAAAAATAAAATGGCAGTAACCTAGTACTCAGATCTGTGTATGTGTCCTGCTTCTGTTTTATAGATTGGCACAAGCACCAGACTCAGACTTACTGAGGGCACGATTGGGCCCGCATCCTGCTGCCCTGGAAAACCATAATTCTCTCAAAGAAGAGGTAGGTAACTAAAGCTGCTGAAATTTTTCAGTCAAAACTATGGACCAGAGAACAAGGATAGTAATTTTTCATTTAACATAATTTTTGTGGTCACCAGGTGGCATGGTGGTTGGGATGCTGAACTCCCACATGGCCTACCAACTCCTGGACCTGGCAGCTAGCTTTTTTACTTTCTTTCTCTCTCTCTCTCTCTCTCTCTCTCTCTCTCTCTCTCTCTCTCTCTCTCGTGAGCACATGTACCCTATAGCAAATTTAAAAAATAATAATTGTAATAATAAATAAAATTAAATAATCATTTAAAAAAACATAATTTTGAAATGTACAAGTTACTTGAGAAATTAGTTAGGTTCTTAAGAATGATGGAGCCAGCACGTGGCATAATGGTTAAGGGTACTGGACTCCCACATGGCCGACTGCAGTTTGAGTCCCAGACCTGGCAGCTTGCTCTCTCTGTCTCTGTCTCTCTCTGGTCAAAATTGAAAAATAATGATAATAAATAAATCTTTAAAAAAAAAAAAAAAGAATGAATGGACATATTTGGGGCCCAGTAGTTGGTGTGGAGGTTCAGGTTGCTGGATTCTACATGGCCAACTGTGCAGGTCCCAGGCATATGTGAGGAGAATGGAGGAAAAGAGATTACAGCATGGCCATTCCTTCTGGGGGCTGGGGGGAGGTGACTTCCCTCCCTTTGGCTAGTGCATGTGCCTTATGGCAAAACACACACAAACACACACACACACACACACACACAGACAAACATATATTCGAGCAGACTTGCAGGAGAGCTGGAGGGGGGAGCCAGAAGCTCGGATTTAGAGCCCTTCCATTGGCTGTATTCATTGTGCCCTGGAAAATCAGGTTCATAAAAATGACCTTTTCTTCTTTGTTGAAGGTCATGTGAATTTGTCTTCTATCAAGGTATTGTTCTTATCTTTATACATAAGAATGTCTGACTTCGATCCTTTTTAAGTTTTTTTTTCTTTTTTTAATAATGTGCATAGTTCAAGGATTCTGCGTGTTTCCCTCTCGGAGGCAAGCCTTGCCACCTATGTCCTTTCTTTTTTTTTTTTTTTTAAGAATTGTTTATTTAATTTTAGTTATTATTATTTGACCAGAAAGAGACAGAGAGAAAAGAATGGAAAATGAGAAAGCAAGCCTCTAGGTCCAGAACTCAAACCGTGATTGACCACGTGGGAGTCCAGCACCTTGACCACCGCCACCTGCCAGCCCCACGACCTGCATCTCGAGGTCACACACTCATGTGGTGGTGTAGTGTGCAGCCTCTACACCATGCCCCTGACCTTCAGGAGAACCTTCAGTCCTCCTCACATCCCTTCTTTACTTGCTTTTCCAATTAAAAAAGAGTAGATGACTTCATTTTCTTTTTTTTTTTTTAGCATTTCAAACATGAATATATGCCATGATAAGGCAAACCTCCCAAGTGTAACCCACAACCAAATTCCTGTGCCATGTTCCCATCACATCACATGTTCCAGACCTTGTCTCATTCACTTCCCCTCTCTGCCATCTTCCTGCGCCCTTCCGCTCCCTCTCTTCCTCTCTCTCCATCCCCCATCCTCTCTTCACCCACCTTCTCTCTCTCTCTCTCTCTCTCTCTCTCGTCCTGCTCCTTTGGCCCCACTTTCCTCGGTAGGGAGAGAGGAAGTATTGAAGATACAGATTCGGCCCCTGTGTGCCTCTCCCGGACTCCATGCCCCTTTCAGAGGTGACCTGTGCATACCTTCCTGGCACTTAGTCTTACTGCATTACGTGCAGTTCTGTAAAAAACCTATAGTTGTGTTGTGTTCAAGATATTATATCATTTGTGTGAATGTTAAAGTCGATGTGCTTTAAGACAAACAGAACCAGTGTTTCTAGCTTTATTCCGTCTCCGTTGATTAATGTAGATCTTAAGGATACTGTTTTAGGTTTTATTGTCAATTTTATTAGCACTGTTCCATTTTTGTTCACTGCAAGTACGTCATATCTTAGCCACATCAAGGCTGAAATAAATGTTGGTTGACTGCTCTTTGTTAGCTAACATAGTTATTTTTTTAAGAAAGGTATTGTTTATTAGAGAACATGTTCCAAATTCTAACTAACCTGTCCTCATCATCATTCAGCTACATCATAGTTCCATTGTTTAAGGCAGGCCAAATCTAACAGCCACTACTATCTAGTGAATCAGCTACTATCTAGGGAATCTGCCTTCCCTAGTAGTTTTTTGTCCCTTTTTAAATCATCTTGATCTCATTCTAGTTATAATCATTTAAAAATTACCAATAAGTTAGTGACAAAATCTGCCCTTCAAAATGCAAGTAGGGGGGACCAGCAGATGGTGTGGTGGTTAAGGCACTGGACACTCCCACATAGCTGACCACAGTTCGAGTCCTGGACCTGGTGGCTTGCTTTCTTACTTTCCCTTTCTCTCTCTCTGGTCAAATTAAGAATAAATGAATAAATAAATAAAATAAAATAAAGTAATTCTTTAAAAGAAAAAATGCAAGCAGGGGACCAGCAGATGACATAATGGTTACATCACTGGACTCCCATGTAGTTGACCACAGTTTGAGTCCCAGACCCAATGGCTTGAAATGGCAGATCTGTGTACATGTATGTCCAAGATCTGAAGAGGAGAATGGAAGAAAAGGATTATGGTGTGGCCATCCTCCCTAGAGGGTGATTTCTCTCTTTCTGTCTGTCTCTCTCTGTTTCTCCAGAGAGCTCACATGCCCTATAGCGAAAATCTCTCTTAAAAAAAAAAAAAAAAAGCAAGAATGGAAGAAAAGGATTATGGTGTGGCCATCCTCCCTAGAGGGTGATTTCTCTCTTTCTGTCTGTCTCTCTCTGTTTCTCCAGAGAGCTCACATGCCCTATAGCGAAAATCTCTCTTAAAAAAAAAAAAAAGCAAGTAGAGGCCAAATAGATGGTGTAGTGGTTAAGGTGCTGGACTCCCATGTGGCCAGCCATGGTTTGAGTCCTGGACTTGGCAGCTTGAAAATTATGCTGGGTGTGTGTGCATGTGTGCCCAAAATCCTGAGAAGAGAAGGAAGGAAGGGAGGAATTGTGGTGTAGCCATCCCCTCTGGGGGTGATTTCTTACTTTCCCTCTCACTGTCTCTTTCTCTCTCCTCTCCACTGTACACAAGTGCCCCATGGCAAAAATCTTAAAAAAAAAAAAAAAATTAAGTAGTTCTGGCTCCCTCGCACAGAGGCAACATGCTGCTTGAGAAAAGCCAATTCCACATGGCAACCATGGTTCAATACCCCAGCCCCATCAGCTTCAAACAGGCTGGGCAGATGCACACATGCTAAGATCCAGCAGACTGGAAGACAAGATAGAGGATCACAGTGTCACCAGTCCCTGGAGAGGGTGCTCATCTCTCTCTCTCTCTCACCCTTGTTCTCTCACTCTCACTGTCACATGCATAATGCTCTGTCATGAATAAAAGGGACAAAAAATGGAAATAAACTGACAGTCTCTCCAACAGATTGTGACTGCAGAATGAGCAGCCCCAAAAAACATTACCAAAGTGACATGGGCAGAGCAAGCCTGGGAACTGGCGGAGAAAATCCTGTTGTGGATTCTTGAACTGTTGGCTTACCCATCCTTGCTTTATGCTTAGCAAAATGGAGCATCTTTCCGTTGTTTCTGTGTATTGGAACAATACACACATTTGGTAGATACTATGGGTTAAATCTCTTTCTTTAGATAAAAATCTTAAAAATAAGTGATTTTCAAAATTTAAGAAAGCTCTACTAGGAATTGCTTGGTTAAGAGTCTAGTGAAGCTCAGAAATACTTACTTTGATCTCTTGGGGAAATGGCTAATTACACAGCCACATGTAAATGATGTTTACCTGTGGGTCCCTGTGCTGTCAGCCCGAGTCAATTCCTTCTCTCGAGCAAATACATCATCAAAGCCAGAGAAACTCAGATTATGTCCCCTCGAGACTAGATAAGATTCGCAGCGCCCACATAACCTGTTAGGCAATTACATAATTGAGCAGCATGCTTTTAAATCAGAGGGAAAAAATGTAATTACTTTATGTGAAAAAATAATGAGTTGGGTGCTTCATTAAAATTAACGAAGTGCCTTAATATTCCTCTTTTCCCAAGTGATATCCATTTCCTCTGTGAGAACTTCCTCACAGCAGAGCAACTTGCTGGTGTCACCCAGAGAGCAGGTCAGGTCCTCTCGCCATGCACACACTGGTGTTCGTCACCAGGAAGGCTCTGGCTGGAAATGGACTGTTTTCTTGTTCTTATTTTTTGCATATTTATTTGCTGGCTCATACAAATATCTTTCTCCCTTTTAGTTGCTATATACATAAAATCTCCTCTCTGTTGACTGAAATATAACATAAGTGATGCTATTTGCCTTTCTCTTTAATGCTGACAGGGTGTTTCCAGGGTCTAAGAGGGAAGTCCTTGAGGAAGACCCAGCTAAATCTGTGTGTGCAGGAAATGTCTGCGGTCTCCTTCCACGGTTTTACATGTCCTTGCTCTTCTGTGTCTGTGTTTAGTAGTACTGGTTTTCATATAGAAAGGAATTTAATTTTACGAAAAATTTTCACTTTACTATCTCTTTGTGTTGTACCACCGTGGCAGATTCCTTTAGAGCTAGCATGTATTTTCTTTCTTTTTAAGAGACATTTTTGCTATAGGGTGCATGCACTTACCAAAGAGACTAGAGAAAAATAGAAAGTGAGAAATTATACACACACACACCCCAGGGGGATAGCCACACCGCAGTCCCTTCTCCTTCATTCTCCTCTTGGAATTTTGGACACACATGCAAGCATGTGTAGCATGAGTTTAAAGCCGGCAGGTCCAGGACTTAAACCATGGTCAGCCATGTGAGAGTCCTACAGTGTAATCATTGCACCATCTGCAAGTTCCAGTATATGTTTTCTTTTATTAGAAAAGTAGGGGAAAAAAAAAAAAACTTGAAATAGTAAGATAAACAAGAAGGGCCCTTTATCCTAAAATCCATATATA